GCTGGTGGTGGAGGGGGGCAGGACGCAGGCTGTGCTATAAATAACCCCCAGCGCCAGGCAGAGCTGTTGGGCTCTGGAGGGCGACAGCTGATGAACCGTGTTGGCATCTGATGATCTCAGCTGGATTTTCGGCTGCCTGAAGTTGGGTGGCAAGACCAGGGAAGGGAAGGGGCTAAATTTAGCCTGTCCTGTTGCTGCAAGTGGCCAGGTGCTTGCTGGTGGTGCCTCCTAGGAAGCCCAGGAGATGGGGAGGGAGAAGTCCTTCCCCCCCATGAGGCTGGGGCACCCCTCTCTTGCATGGCTCCTACAGCCCAGTTTGGTTGGCATCAGTATAGACCTGGGCTTGCACTGGTGTACATCAACCATGCTGCTTATGGGCATCATCCAAACAGAACCGGGCAGTTTAACCTGGGGAGCAGCTGGTGGGGGGGGATGAGGTGCAGCAGTGTGGCTGGTGGGGATGATTTTGGGTGGCAGCCCCATCTGACAGTGTGACCCCCTCTTCTCCCCACAGGCCTTATGTGGCTGCACTGTGAACGTTCCCACCATTGAAGGGCAGGTGATCCCACTGCCCTGCAATGACATCATCAAGCCAGGGACAGTGAAGAGACTGCGTGGGGAGGGGCTGCCCTTCCCCAAGGCCCCCAGCCAGCGAGGAGACTTGATCGTGGAGTTCAAAATCCACTTCCCGGACAGAATAGCTCCCCAGACAAGACAGATCCTCAAGGAGCACCTCCCATGCTCCTAAAGCCTGGGGATTCTCCTCCAGGCAGCAGTATTCCAAATACACATGCCGCAGCATCTGACCTGCAGAGCAGAGGTGCTAGAGCACTTTCAAATGCACACACCCCCCTTTCTTTTCCCAAAATTCCCATTCAACCCACCCATCCCTCTTGGCCCATTTTCTACTCTGGCAGTGGGGAGGCTCCTGCCCTGCCCATCACAGCTCTCCTAGCTGCCAAACTTTTTATTTTTCCCTAGAGGTCCAGCTTTTCTGCCTTGCACAAGCAAGCGGCGTGGGCCCTTTGCCCAGGGAGGTGCATCACGTTCTAGGTTTTTGTCACCTGCTTTTCAGGCCACTTTTCCCATGAGAGGCTGGACTTGTCGGGGTTTGGCACAGTGTAAATAGGACTCCGCAGGATCTCACATCCCCACTGTTAGTTTTCTCTTCCTCTCTTTGATACTTACTGCTGTTCAGGGTCCCAGCTGTACTGCAGTGCCAAGGAGACTGTCCCACGCACGTAGGGCAGAGGGATTGCTCCTGCCCACGGTAGCCCTCCTGCAGCTGGATTGTTTCTAACGTGGGACCATGGTACAGAGTCCAACCACAGTCCACTCTTCTGTGCCAAGCCTACAACCAAGCCTCAGCTGTGCCAAACAATGGAGTGCAATGCACCTGGGGATGGTCCCATCCAGCCTGGTACCTGCAAGGCAGCTGGGCAGCACCTGCCTGCACCCTCTGCCTGCAGAGTCCCGGCAAGCAGGAGGAGGTGGGAAAGCCCAAGGTGGAGCTTTCTTGGTCAGATGTGTTGAGTTTGCATTGCTATTTTCTTTTTAATATGCATATATAGAGAGAGCTCATTAGATAAACTCCATAAGGGTTTTTCTCTGCCTGTTTTGGGGTTCCTGGGGTGGCGTGCTGTGTATGTGTGCATGCACGTGTGCAATACGTACCACAAACCTGGGTGCAAAAGCAGAGCCAAGCATGAGCAGAGCTGTGGTTTTCACTAGTGTTTGCGTTCAACCTTCGGGATTTCACTAGGAAGACAAATGCACGTGTTTATATTTTTCTACAGGGACAATTAATTCAGGAGGCATTTCTGGGCGTTAGGGTGGAGCTGTGAGGCACATGAGGCAATCTGGCTTTGTTTTTAAGTGCTGTATTCTTTTAAAACCTTTGGATTTCCATCAGGAGAATTTTTATAGTTCTTACCTTTCTTGGCCCACTCTGCCTTGTGCCAGTTTTTTTTCCTGGAAAGGGCTCCTATGGAGTAGGAGGCGTGTTTGACCTGGCTTTGTATGGCTCCTCTTCCACTACAGCACTGCTGAGAAAGCCTCTGCCAAACTATTCCCCCCTGCCAGGAATCTGTTTTTTTTTAAAGAGGAATCACTGACTTGAAACAGGGGTCCTTTGGGGGGTGGTGTGTGTGTGTGCGTGCGAGTGTGGGGCGTCCAACAGGGCTAGGTGTACAGCTGTACATTGTATCATATGCAGCGGGGAGGCCGGCTAGTGCCGCGGCTCTGGCACAGGGTGAGGAGACCAGTTAGACACTGCTTGCTTAATTTATTGCCCTGTTTGACCGGTGAGGGTATGCCGCTGGTTCCTGTGGAGTTCAACATAGAGAAACCTGGTGGACACTGCTGGAGCGAGAAGACAGGTCAGCATGCAGATACAAGCTGCTTTGTTTCTCAGTTTCAATGAGATCTGAAGGTTTTATAGTGGGTTTTTTTGGTAATTTTTAATGTCAGTATTGAGAAAAAAAAGAAAGTATTTAAAAAAAAAATACCTCCTTGGGGTATGTTGTGATGGGAGATGCTGGGGCTGTGCTTGCCCTGGCCTGGGAACAGGCAGCAGGGCCAGGGAAGGGGCTCAGCCCCCCACCGGCACTGGGGGAACCCTGTCAGGGCTCTGCATCCCCTTGGGGCTCCTAGGACACAGCTGACACAAGCAACAGGAGTGGAGGCTGGCCAGAGGGTCTGTGAGTGGTAGGGTGGTGCAGCAGGGGAGGGTAGCTCCTTGCTGGAAGAGGCTGCCTGAGGGGGCTGGAGAGACCCTGGTGCTCAGCTCTTCTTGGCAGGGCCCTGGGGCTGGGCAAGAGGCAGCGGTGCATGTTGCACCCAGGGACATTCCCACTGATACCAGGAAAAATGCTTTCCCATAATGGGCCATGCAGGAGCAGCTGCAAGGGCAGGCAATGTGAGCAAAAACCCACAGGCATTGTGCCTTGGGAAGGGCCTGGGCAGAAGCTGCCAAACCCCAAATGGGGGACATCTCACTGCCCTCTCCCAGGTGAGAGCTCAGGGCCATGAAATCACCCTGCAGCAAACTAACCCTGAAGCCCACACAGCAGACAGGGCTGGGAGCAGCTAACGGGCTGGGCAGATTGGGGGAGTCAGAGCCTGCACAGGCACCAGGTATGCCTATAGGGCAGGGGGATGGCCATGGGAAGGTGATGCCCTCGGAGCAGGAACACCCATAAGGAAGGGATATCCATGGGGCAGGGGATAGCACTTGGGAGGGCACATCCATGGGGCAGGAGATACCTGTAGTGAAAGGATGCCTGTGGTGTGGGGATGCCCTCAGGGCAGGGTTAGCCATAGGGAAGGGATGCCCCATAGGGTGGCCTGACATGCTGAGCATGGTCACTATGTGCCCTCTTCTGGCAGGAGGACCCTGCTGAGCCAGGAGAGCATTGGGGTACTGCATGCCCCAATCTCTT